ACGTGCTGAAGGAAGTGGAGGTGCAAGAGCCGCGCTTCATCAGCTCCCTGAGCGAGATCGATGCGCGCTACGAGGGGCTCGAGGTCATCTCGCCCACGGAATTCGAGGTGGTGCTCTACCTCAACCAGATGGGCGTCTTCAACTTCGTGGATGACGGCTCGCTGCCCGGCTGCGCCGTGCTCAAGTTGAGCGACGGGCGCAAGCGGAGCATGTCCCTCTGGGTCGAGTTCATCACGGCATCCGGCTACCTCTCGGCGCGCAAGATCCGCTCGCGCTTCCAGACGCTGGTGGCCCAGGCGGTGGACAAGTGCAGCTACCGGGATGTGGTCAAGATGATCGCTGACACCAGCGAGGTCAAGCTGCGCATTCGTGAGCGCTACGTGGTGCAGATCACGCCGGCGTTCAAGTGCACCGGGATCTGGCCTCGCAGCGCGGCGCAGTGGCCCATGCCCCACATCCCCTGGCCCGGCCCCAACCGCGTGGCGGAGGTCAAGGCCGAAGGGTTCAACTTGCTGTCCAAGGAGTGCTACTCGCTGACCGGCAAGCAGAGCTCGGCCGAGAGCGACGCCTGGGTGCTGCAGTTCGGGGAGGCAGAGAACCGGCTGCTGATGGGCGGCTGCCGGAACAAGTGTCTGTCGGTGCTCAAGACGCTGCGGGACCGCCACCTGGAGCTGCCGGGCCAGCCGCTCAACAACTACCACATGAAGACGCTGCTGCTGTACGAGTGCGAGAAGCACCCGCGCGAAACGGACTGGGACGAGGCTTGCCTGGGCGACCGGCTCAACGGCATCCTCCTGCAGCTCATCTCCTGCCTGCAGTGCCGCCGTTGCCCTCACTACTTCCTGCCCAACCTCGACCTCTTCCAGGGCAAACCCCACTCGGCCCTGGAGAGCGCTGCCAAGCAGACCTGGAGGTTGGCCAGGGAAATTCTCACCAATCCCAAAAGCCTGGACAAGCTATAAGGGTGCTGAGGACAGCTTGAAAAGCGACGCTACCGGGCGTGCTCTCTCTCTCCCACCCCCACGGCACCGGCACCGCAGCTCTCTCCGCGACCGACCACAGCGCAAACTCGGAACTCCTAACTTTTACGTAACTCACCTGAAAGAAACCCGAGCCGGCCAAGATCTTCAACAATTAAGGAAACAAAAAAGAGAGCGGACCACCATCCCGCCCCCGCCAAAAAAAAAAAAAAAAAAAAAAAAAAAAATCATTTTCTTGCACACAAATGATGTTTTCTTCCAAACAATGTGAATTTAAAAGGTCCCACAAAAGAAGCAATCGGTCTTTGCCACCACAAAATGAAACCCAAGGTACATTTTCAAATCAATGTATAGTAGCTTTCCCCATTCCTTCTTTACCCCATTCTTTTTCTCCCTAATCCTTTCTCCCTGCTCTTTCTCTCCCTCTCCCTCTCTCTCTTTCTCGATTGCTAACTCATTTTGTTTTTGGTTGCCTGAATGTTGTCACCAAGTGAAAAATATTATTTAACTATATGTAAAATTCCTCTTTTAAAAAAAGTTTTACTGATGTTAACTGTATCAGTGCCAATGCCAGATTCTTGTCTCCCTCTCTAGCACCTCTGCCCTCATCCTAAGCCATCTTGTTGAAAACAATAATAAAAATATGACTTTACGTTGTAATTGTCTGTGGGCTGTTCTTAAATAAAGGCAGGTAAAATCGATTTGAAATGTACAATGTAAAGATCTAAAACAAAGGAACGAAATTTAAAGGACAACACATCACCTAAGATTCACTGTAGAAATCCCCGCTAAAACATTAGAGAAAATATTATTTTTGTGCAATTAAGATATTCTGTGGATTTTCAAAATTTAAACTAACATTTCACACATAAGGCAAAATAAAACAGTCTGGAAAAAACAAATTTTAACCTAATCTGTAAAACAGAAAAAAAAGTTTGTTCTTGTTGAAAGTTAAGAGATTTGGCTTCTTATGCCATAATTTAAAAAATCCAAGCTGAGTTTGAAATACAAAGGAGATTCTTAAGCAGCTTTTCTGAATTGTTAAGGAAGGTAGGTAGTTGTTGCTTTTCCTTCAAAAAATGTGTGCTCTTCTAGCTTTCAAAAATAAGAACCTGAAATTAGCCATGCCAAAAGAGTAACACAAAATAGTTACACCTATGTTCCTCTCCCCCAGCAAATGGTATAAGGAAAACTTTAGATTTATAAATTACTTCAAATTTCAAAATGGCTTAGTTACCAATGCTCCATGACCATTTTTTTTAATCAAATTTCAAGATTTGTTCTGAAGCTGCTTAGATATAAATCCAAAGAAAAAGTCAATACCATTTTTAAAATCAAAGAAAAATTGTTCTAAGAATGCACAGTAAAAATACCTTCCCTCCTCTTTCTGCTTTCCTTAGGCAACAGCATAGTATACTCGTTTCAATATTTCTGGCTTAATGGAGGCTTCTTTTTATTGCAAGGAAATAACTGCTTAGAAAAAAAAAATACTCAGTAAAATTGAAAGTGTCCCAAAGGAATTGGTTTGTCTTCCTTATGTTGGAGTCTATAACTATACACTCCATTAGTTATGCTAACAGGAGGCACAGGTAGGTTGTACACTAGATATGACCCTTTAGTGTTTACAAATTATCCTCTGCATTTGCCTAGTTTCTAATTTATTCAAAAAGCTATGGATGAGAGACGTAGAGAAAAAATATTCTAAGAAGCATTTTTCAAGATCACAGGGAGTTTAGCGGTGGGGGAGGTGGCAGAACTGCGGCAAAAGAAGGAAGCATCTCAACCCCATCTCACAGAACAGTCAAGCCCTAGGATGCTCTGGTAAACATTCCCTGATACAAACAGCTCCCTGGGAATGATACGAACCTTGATCTTATCAGCTCTGCAGTGTACCCTCTCAGCCTATGTTAACTGTATCTTTCTTGGGGTCTCTTTAGATATAGGACGAACTCGCCACAACACTTACATACTGCTAAATGGCTGAGACAAATGCACTATTTTCCCCCTTCCCTCTGGATAAAATGTTGAATTTTAAGAACATTTTGGAAGCAAACAGTAGGTACTTACACTGCAGGAAACGATTTCAAGACACAATATTCAATTAAACCTGCTCATTTTTATCTTGAGATAACCATTGTTCTCACTCCTGAAGGTATTTACAGCACTGGACACATACGTGTCTTCATATATTCCAGGTTAAAACTGTTTATACCCTCACAAGAAAAAACAAAACACCTCCAGTTGAGTTTCTTTCATTCTTTCCTATTTAACACAGGTATCAAGGGGAAAAAAGGGAACAGATGGAAAATACTGTAACAACAATAATGTCTTCACTTACAAACACCATGAACAATTGATATCTACAAAGACAAAAAACTTCTGATATTTTTAAAAATATAAATTGGCAGGAGTTCTGAACTCTGAGATTTCAGGCAGGTTGCAGAGGAATGAGACAATTTCCACAATTAAGTTAAAAGATCTCCCTATTTCCCAAGCAACAGGGCAGAGACTTAATTTAATCATACTGCACAAAATAAGATCAGAGAGAAACAAAAGTTGTAATTTCTCCCAGCGCGCAAATAACTTGCAAGGACCAATCTCAAAGACTGCCAAAGGTTTTGATTTTTGAGAAGAATTCATTAGATACTTTTAAATTAAATCAAATGTTTAGAAATTAAGCAGTGTGTATCCACAAGCAATGACAGAATATTCTAAATCAAATATCAACCTCTCTTAAATTCATAAACCATCAGAATCACAGAGTTCCCATAATTTTGGGAACATTCCTTTCCTAAAGAAGTTAAAATACACACTCAGACATTCCAGCCATGTTCAAAAGAGCGAGCAAGCGAGCAAGCGAGCAAGCGAGAGAGGTGTTATAATTTATACAATTCTACAATTAAAGCTTTATCCACTTTCTACTGACAAAATTATCATGCTCAAAATACTCCATTCCTTCTTGACCTTCCTGCCACACAGAACCTCCTCAAGTCCCGCTCACAGAAAAAAAAGCAGTACTGGTATTTCAGTAGTGAAAACAAGCATCAGACAAGAAATAAGCTGCCTAGAAAGTTTAAAATTATGATTTTTTAATTAAGAATACTATGAAATACTTCTAAATCATCAAACTTTAATAATTATGCTCACAAAATCAAAGAGCCTAACACCAAAAAACTCAGAGGGTGTGCATATGCTTATCTGTATGCAAATACGCACACTATCAACCTGTAAAATGAATGATCCCACTTAGTCCAACCACATCTTTTCCCACAGACTGCCTGTTTTGTTCTTTTTGAAACAAACTACTTTCCTCGAGAGCAAATGCTACCATTCACTTTCATGAAACACACCTAATTTTGACTTTATGACTGTGTTAAGAAACACAAATGCTTCTTAGTAAAAAAAAAAAAAAAATAAAGTTGCCAAGGTCTGAAAAGCAATCAGAAATACATTTTAAAGGGGAAATTACATTTTCATTTAATAATGGGAAATTATGCAGTGCCTTGTAAAATCTACCATAGGTAATGGGAAACAGAGGTATCTCGCACACCCACACACAAAACATGCTTGCATGCATGACAGAGCAGTAAGTCACAGGGACAAAGCCAGGAGAATGATATATTGGTATTATATCCAGAAAACATAAAGGCTAAACAAAATAATTCCACTCGCAATCTCACTGAATTTTGTAGCTTAATTCACCCTGGACTCTTTGAGGCAAAACATATTTATAGATTATGTTTCCTGAGGTTCCACTCCTGGCCCCAGTGAGCTAATGATAAATGCAATTAAGTGGGAACTGGTTTTGAATCTAAATGAACTTCAATAATCTAACTAGCTGGTAAGGGAATCATAAGCTAAAAATGATAATAATAATAACTACCTTGTATGCAAGCAGAGGCAATTTCACAGGACATTCCAACTGAACCCTGTGGGATTTTAACAAAGCCCGTCTTACCCGCCAGCAACCCACTACCCCATCACAAGAACAAAATGAAACTCCCTCCCTCCTGTTCTCACCTTTGGGTCGATTTTCTTGAAGTTGGGATCCTCTTCGTCCACCTCAAAATAGAGTTCAGAGGAGGTGACAGAGAGAGTGCCCTTGAGTACAGCAGAGGGGGCCACCAGCTGAGCTGGCGTGCTCAGGCTGACAGGACCTGCCAGCAAGGAAAGGACAACCCACATCAACCGAAGGCACGCATTTCAAAACACCCAATCTGACCAGCTAGTCTTTATTTTTTAGTTCTCACTTCTAATACCACATTGCCTACTAACGCCTATACGTAGATATTGCGTCTGCTCATGGCTTCCTCTGAAAAAATGCAATCAGGATTCTCAAGCTAGCGGACTTACAACAGACGGTTACTGAGAATGGTGAACTAGGATGCAGTTATTGGACTGGGAAGTCTGCAGAGCTTTGGTCTCAATGCTAGGTAAGAAGGTGGCCCTGCTGCAGAAGCCCATCTACATTCCATTTAGAAAACAAGCCTCAGGCTATCAAACAACATGGAACAACAAGGAGGTGCTGGGAAACCTCAACTGGTTTCCAGGGCCAGAGGTTAGCTTAGGGTCTGACTGAGGCATGACTGCAGCTGGATCATTAGCTCATTAGTGGAGTGGCAAACATTAAGCCATATTCTCTGATAAAGATTTTGTGCCAGGCTGACACAAAACCTCTTACGTAACAACCGCACCCCATGAAATACTGGTAAAAAGTCTCCTTTTTTCTGGGCGTCCGTTCCTTCCCACTGTTAAACCTTGCTCAATGCCTCCAAATCTAATATTAGTGTAGGTCAGGGACTCTGGGAGTAAACAGCTGGAGGGTGGGTTTCCAAGTGAATGAATTTTTATTGGAATAATCAGATCTCCACAGGGCTTATCAAAGAGACAAATCAGACTGCTACTGAAAACAATAGATTCACTACAGATAAAACAGCATAGTGTAACCAAGCAAAACATAAAATAAAGACTATACATTATAATAATATGGGTGCGGGGGGTGGGTGTATACAGAAATAAATGCAGAAAGGATTTGGAATTCCATGTCAATTCCTTACTGTACAACTCCTATTGGAAAAGAAAACAGCCAAAGAGAATATTGGCACTGGAGTTCTGAATTAATATAGTGCCTATAAACAAGGTGTGCCTATTCAGGTAATCAATGGATGAATAAGTGTTTCAAAATTCAGATGAATTGACATTTCCATCGATTGTTAGAAGGGCGATGGTCCTTAATCTCCCATCAATCTTAATGTGTGCCAGTAGGACAATAGAAGGGATGCTCTGCGGAGATCAGAGCAGGTTTTGCCCTCTATTCCCAATGTACAAATACATTGTGTTTGCAGATGGGCAGCAGATAGCTGCAGAACAGCCATGATTTCCCAAAGCTCATCCCTATAAATGGATGAAATAAGCAGCTATGTGTTCTTTTGCTGTCTCCTTTTGCCCTCTGTACATTAGCATGTAATCCCGAGAAGAAATAACATTTTTTCAATCACTCTCAGACATTCAATTATAGGGTAAGCAGACAGCTGCAGGGGCTAGGGCAGCCTAGGTCCTACAGAAGACCCCTGACAATTTCCACTTCATTTCTAACCCACACCACTTTATTAGTGTGGATTACCTCTTAATCCTATTGCCATTGTCAAGATTATATAATTAAACTCCCCTTTCACCTCTATTACTGTATGAATGTATTACTGGCAGCAAGAATAGAAGCAAAAGTAAAGGAGGAAATGGGCAAATGCATGCAAAGAAGAGCCTCACACTCTACTCCCGCCCCGAATCCTCTCCCAGTCTGCTCCCACTACCTGTGTTTTACCTCGCTGGTGTGCATTTCCAAATCATCAGAGAAGATGGCCACCTTTGATTTTTGCTTTTCATTACCAAGCTGCATGAAGCAGAAGTTGTAGACATGTCACCAAATAAATGATTTATAATCCCTTTTCTCCTTAAGTCATCTGAATGGAACACTATATAATTCTCACCTAGAGGAACTGTGGCATCTTTCCAGTCTCCTCCTTGAGGGACAGAGCCATAAGCATTAAAGGGAAAAAGGCCACTTAACGAAGAACTAAAAATGCAGGCTCAACAATAGAATTTTTCCCATAAGGGAAGTAAAACTGAAAATCTGCAGAGTGCAAATCAAAATTCCTACATCAAGCAAAATCTGTGGAATCCTGTGAAAGGCCAGGGCGTTCCTGAAGTGATTTTTGAGAGTTAAGCACCCATGCAGTATACTGACCAAGGCTTATATAGCTCATCTGCCTCCCAGCTTTATTTACAAAATAATTGGCAGACTATTACTTACAGCCCCCAATTCAATGGGGATCTGGTAACAGGATGAGGATAAGTACTTTTGTTAGTGTTGCTTTTAAACTTCACTGTTTTTCGGCAAAATCATTCATACAAGATAAAGGACACAGAGAGACTGGTGAGAACAGAAGAAAATCGGAGGAGAAACTGTAGAAAGGAGAAATGTTTGGAAGAACAAAGCTATTTCCAACTAATGTAATTGGGGGGGTAAGCCTGGGAGTCCTTCTTGTCACGGCTGAAAAAGTAATTAGAAGTATACTGTCCCAGGGCTAGCTGGAGTCGCCACAACCACAGAATTTACCGGCGAGATTTTCTAAATCTTTCTCCTCTACGGATGACAGAGTATCGTCGTCGCCTTCCAGCAGGATCTCGTTTTCTGAGTTCTGATTTCCTAAAGCGTGACTCTTGATGGACTGTTTTCCTTTAGCAAGGATATCTTCATCTGCAGCTGAAATGAAAAGGAAACAAAGCTGTCCATCAGCCCGGGGAAGAGCACTTTGGCAGAGTGGTGACGGTTGAGGTAAGGCGAGGTGGCCAGCCATCGTCCATCTATTACACACACAGACGCCGAGTGGCCCGTGCTGGGGAAGGAGACAGGGTGGCACGCTCATTCTGACAAATGCGATTCCCCAACCTAGCCTAGTGTTACCCTGAACAAGCACCCTAATCCCATTAAACCTGACCCCTACACTGCTCACCAGACCATTTATTTACTTATGGTTAGGCCAAGAGAAGGTTCAAAGGCAGCACTTTTCCGGGAAAATTTGTTAGTAGGAGGAAATCAGAACCCAGTTTTGGAAGCACTGTTCAGTCAACATTGAGAAATCAGAAAGGCTGATTCATCCTTCCCAGTCGTCTGTACAACGAGCCTCCTGAAGGGTTGTAGAATGGCTGTGAAGGGCAGTACAGCCGGGCCAAAGCCAGGGAGGACACACAGCCAATGAGGATTTAGGCCTGGCCCTTGCAGCCAGATGTGACGCTAATAAAACAGCAGCTCCTCGAAGCCCCGTTCTCGGCTCCTGCCATCCTCCCTCCTGCCTCCTGCCTTCCTTCACACTGCCCTGGGTCCACATATTCACACATCCACTCCCCCGCCCTTCAAGCCCTTATACAAATAGCCAAGAGCAAGGCAGTGTGGAAACTAAGTGGAGGCTCAAACACTACCTTCTCTGCATGTTTAAACTAAAGGGCTGAGGCACCCCGGGGGTAAACATAACATAAAGACCTGGATGAGAGGCATCTGAGCTAAGGGCCTCGAGGGGCCTGAACTGAGCAGCCTGCAGAGAGCGCAGCAACGCTGCCAGACTCTCAAGCACTGAGAGAGAAAGGCAACGCCAAGTGCAGGGTGAACCGGCAGATGTGTGGAGCACCTACAGTCCCCTAAAGAATCCACAAACAGGAGGGGAAGAGCAACAGAAAGCTGAAAACATGGATGCCTGGAATTCTCACCTCATAATGATGACTTCTGCTGTGTTAAGCAGCTCCCCCCCCCCCCCAATAATAAAAGCAAAAAAGCAAATACAAACTTCAAACTTAGGATTTATGGTTTGTAAGCACCATATATGTGTCTTTTTCATATGTGTGTGTGTGTGTGTGTGTATGGAGGGGTACAATATAAGGGAAAGTTTAGGAATCTAACCTTAATTCCTGATGTGGTAGGTTTCCAGCTAGGGAAATCCTAGGCAAAAGGTACCTGATCCACCAGGCTGTGACCATTCATATGGAAATTGGGTGGCCAAGCTTTGTGCATCACTGCAGTTGCTACCTAGGCAATTCCAGAAGGATGAAGTGGTCAGCTTGCAGTAATTTGACAACACTGATCTGTGTAAGTTATTCTAAATGTTTAAACTATGCATTTGTTACTTAGATAACTTGGCCGATAAAAGTGTCTGTGGATTTTATAGGTGGGTTATAGATGACAGGTTTTTTTTCTTCATATTAATTGTAAATAAACCATATTATCATTTACATTCAAAACCTAAGGCATAGAAGTTTTGTATTAAATTTTAAGATTATTTAATATATCTAATTAAAATGGAATTTTAAAAATAAAAACTGTAAGAAAATATATCAGCTAACCACAAAGTTTTAGGGAAACAGTATGCTTTTATATTATTGTTTGTATATCCAAAATTTACATTTCCTTACTCTATAGTTTAAAACGCTGCCTAGTTCCCATGTTCTTTTTAATTTACTATTAAATTTCCTAAAAATAAACTGGCCACTAAAAAATGCAAAAGAAATTACCACAGATTTCCTATCAAATAGAATCTCATTTGCCCGCTAGAGTTTAGTGTGGAATCATCATGCTATATTGTCTTCGTTTCCTTCATTTACATCCCCTTCTTCAAAGAAGAAATTCCAAGGTACTTCAAAAAGTTCAATGACAAAATGGAATTGAAAGGCAATACACACTCGTATGAATTTATAAAATGCCTTTGTATTAATTACAAGGCTAGCATGACATAGTACCTGCCATGTGCCAGGGAATGCACTAAATATTCTACATATTTAACTTTTAATTGACTTAAACTTTCTGTTATTTATCCATTTTTAGCTAAAACAACAGGCTCAGAGACTTTCCATAACTTGTTCAAGGTAACACAGCTCCTGACATCTGAGACGAGGTTTTAAAAAGTTGCAGTGTAGTATCAAAATCTGAAGCTATTAAATATGATAAAGGAAAATGAAGAAAACTATTACTTTGTATATATACAATGAATGTATCAGTTTTTATTGATATTTCTGTTCCTCACACTGCATTTTAAAAGCACAACAGAATCATAATCAATAAAAAAATTTTTTTAAGTTTTCAAACCTATTTTAGATGACATTATAACAAACATTTTAGAAACAACTAAAATTAACAAAATGTTTATTACTTTCTATGGTTATTGCTACAGATGTCCTGAACTATCTCAAACTTAACTGAAAAAGGAAACAAAAAATATTGTTAATATGCAAACATTTACCAAAAAAAATGAATGCTCTCTGTGGTAAAATGTAATGATTTAAAATAAATAAATACATTCACATTCATTTAAATGACTACTGAAATACAATTTCCTATTCCTTTTAATTGGAATTCAAAAAGTCTTAAACATGTTCCCAACATACTGATTCATACTTGAAATGTAACTCTTCAATTACATAAAAGTTGTATAAAAATTTTTTTAACTATACATTATATCCGTACAAACATCCACTTTAGCTTATTTATTTACCTATTTTTACAAGCTTAGATTCTGGAATTGTTCAACCTCAACTGAAAAACCTCTTGTCATAGAAAATATGCAGCTTACTGATATTTAGAATGGTTTTCCTGTAATTAACTCCCCCTTGAGGATTTTAAGTTAGCAGCAGTAAAATTACCAACAGTACTCTAATACACACCACATGCGCTAGTGTTCAATTCTCAGTGGTCTAATAGCTTTCTGCTACAGAATTTTTTTTTCTTCAAAATAAGAACAAAACTTTCCCAAGCATAAAATAAAAGATAATTATCATGTTTATATGTGCAGGAGAAAAGTAGATTTTTAACTTTCATTTGCCTTACACAGCATCAACCATCCTAAACAAAATATCAACTATCTGAGATCTTATATGACTGCACACCACACTGATCTGAAAGTCTGGATGAATCAGAAACATCCGCTTGTATATTTTAGAACTTGATTCGGATATTTTCTGGCTAATAAAACTGTTACTAAACTAAACATGATTGCTTACTTTTTTATATTATTAACAGACTGACTTTACCTAATCTTTTTATTCTGCCTTAATATTTATCTTCATTTTAATATTTATGTTAATAATTAAACTATGTTAATAATTGTTACATAGAGTGGAGGAATCTGTCAAGACTCCTTTATTTAAACCACAACTTCTGCTTCCCTGAGGCTAAGAGCAATGAGAGGGCTGAGACAGGCTGGTCCTCAAAATGTAAAGTTCAAATGCGTCACAGCCAGCCCTGTACATTTATCAATCCAACACGGTAAAATGTGTGTGAAACTAAAACAGGAAAAGAATAACACAAAACAGAACATTCTTCTACCTATGACACAAATATTTCCTTCCAACATATCATGATTACTGAGGAAGTGGAATCATCAATAGGTCTTGTTTTAATAAGAGAAACTTCGATACTAAAAATTAGTTTTTTCTTAACAGTTATGGCTGGAATAACAAAATGACTTCAAATGTACACAAAACAGATACAGGCATGCACTTCATAAGATGTGACATCCATGCTGTAACTGTATTCTAAACATGACACACACAGTGCACCTTACAGGTATGCACTTCATATTATGTGACACCCATGTTGTAATTGGACTCTGAACAAGACGCATAAAGTAACTTCCAATCAATGCTTGTCCCAATCTGATTAACTCCCTGATTAAACTTTATGCTATTTCTGCAGGGTTCCAACTCAAGAAAAATTATTTTAGAAAAATCAGTGAAACTACGAAGGATGATTAGGAGGACAAGCCAAAGATGACTCCTATTGGTCAAAGGATCCCCCAAACTTTCAGATAGGGACCCTACTCTATATGGACCCTTGAAAGGGTGCCAACAATACCTTCTCATATGAGAGATATGAGAGAATGGCATGGTTTAGGGCCTTTACGTGATCTGATATTCCCCAAACGTGAAATGAAGTGCTTACGTCATTCTACATATTCACAGGAAGGATACTTCTTAAGTCATATTAACTTCTCTTTTATTTCTATTAGTATTCACATTCTCTATAAAATAAAAATGTCTTGAATTTAATAGAATTCTACTACTAAACTGTTTTAGTACTTGAATTAAAGGCAATCTTTCTATCATTTAAAACATGTTTTTACGTGGCTTTAATTTAAATATAAAATTCCCATTATTATAGCAATGAATTTTTAAAAACCATACAGCACGTCGATGGAAGTCTGCCCAGCAACCAGTTAATTCGGGATTTGGTCCTTTATCTATCTGCCTCAGTTTCCTGAGCTGTGAAGGAATAAAGTTACACTAGACTTGGGCCTTAGGTTTTCCACCAGATCTAAAAGCATCCTGATAATAAAGAACTGCCAAAGGGGGCTCCAGGCATTTGGAGAATGTTAAGAATCATTACAACTGATTCCTAATAAATTGCAAGATCATAAAATGGGAAGCAATGCCCTTCAGAATCAAATACCCACCACTGCTTGCTGCTGCTAATTTCCATAAAGAATATTTAATCACAAGAGGAAGCATTCATTTTAATTTTGAAATATGATTCGTTTTCTGCAAAGTTAAAGAAATCTCGCATTACAACATGACTTTTATAAATAACCACTTTGGAGGGTCTCTGTTTGAAAAATTACCTAGAGCTCTTTTCCCCAAGCAAGTTAATGTGAACTTGGGAAGGGCAATTAAATTGTCAGAATTAAAAAATTTGTTTTTAACTAGAAGGTAGCCAGAAGTAGAGTCATGGGGCTGGTATTGATCGCTCAAACAGAGAACATCACTCTTCAGGTATTTACTCTGCCACCTTTACACCAGAGGCTTTCCTTCAAATCAAATCAAATCAATCTATAAAAAAGATGGCTCGTCCTATGAAAATACATAACTAATCTCCAATGTCATTTCTATTTAGATGTCTTCCTTTGATCCTGAAACATAGTTCATGGTGCTGTAAGATTTTGCATTTTTAAATATGCTATTTCCTTAACTAAATTAGAAACAAAAGCAAGGAGTTATAAAATGACATAAAACTGACATACCATCTTCAGGACACTTGTTTAATTTCCACACTAAAACATGGTATTTATTCACACTAAATTTCATGTGTTCCATCTGCTTTTGGTCACATTAACAGCTATATTTTATACATTTATTTTTATTAAGTTCCTTTAGGTTTCAAAATGCATTTAAAGATAAAATTTTACAAAAACAAATGAGTTTATTTAATAAAATTAAAAATTAAGTTATTTGATTATAGACTATCTTAACATTATTCAGTGACATTATGATATAATAGTGATACCAAATAATATCATTTTATAATTTTTGCTGAGCTTCAGAATTATTTGATTTTTCCTTTTATTTAAATAAAATAAAATCATTTATTACAGTTTCCAATTTGTCAAACCTGCTAACTTAATTGAAAGGCTATTGGCATATCTCCTACACATTTGGTCAGCTTTTTAAAATATAAATTTCAGATTAATGCTATTGTTTCTAATCTCTGAGTATTATATAAACAATAATCACTAGAAATTTAGTGTTAAATCTTATGAAGCAGTATGGAATCACATTAAATTATTTGTTGTGTTCTCTATTGTATTAACCTTTCAATTTTTATTCACCGTATTGAGTGAAGTACATACCTATCAAAAAAGTCTTAAATGGAAAGAAACATTATTTTAAAAATACCTTTCAATAGCAAATATTGTTGCAGATGCTTAGCATTAAAATCCTGATGACATTTTTTACATGTCAAGTTCAATTATGAAACAAAAACTTTGACATTAGTAGGAATCCACTGACTGCTCAAAATGCTAAAATATATATATCACTTCTGATAAAATTGTGTTTTAAATAAACTCTGAATTAAATCTACACAACAAATTTAAATTAGAAGTTTGCCTACAAAGAATTTTAGAAAATAAGTCCTGTTCTTTCACACATAAAAGGACAATTTTTTAATAAAAACACTGTTGTTGTCTCTCACAGATCTCAAACTCACAACATGGAGTTAGACAACAGCTTTGCAAACAGAAAAATCAATATTAAATTCAGATTTTAAGTGTACAGGGGAATATCTGGCTAAAAAGAATAAAAGTACAAAAAACTATTTTTTTTTCAATGCAGAGGTCAAAAACCAAAAACAAAACAATAAAAGAAAAAAAAGGAATATACAATGAAACAAAAATAAAACAACTTGTGACCGTGGTGACTACAGTGGCAAATAAAGAGGCAAATGAAACCCAGGGCAAAAGTGGCCTAATTAATTCTACATCTTCTTTTTCGCTCTCCACCTCCTCCAGTTGAAGATGCAGGGCCGAGACTATGACTGCTTTTAGATCACTGCATTATTGACTATTCTCTGTATGATCATTTATTTTAAAGGACTGATGTCACATTTGGTGTTATATCTGATGACATATTGTGGACATTTTTTTCCAGAAATGGCTCTTTAAGGCTGAGTGCAAGAGGTTAAACTGCCTGACTGAGGCCAGACATAAGACTACAGATTTCTAATCTAAATTTTTAAAGATCCATACTGAATATAATCTAACAACTCTGTTAGACTACTTGTGTGCACAGATAATTACTGTTAAACATGAGCTCCTGCATGTTAAGCTCATACTCTGAAAGAAAAAATAAAAATTTTGCCTTATTAAAAATAACAAATTCATACTTCAGAGAATCACACCAACTTTAAGATGGAGAGGAGGATTTCCTGCTTAATCAGCATAACTTATTTGGCATATAAAAATCATAAAACATTAACTGAAACTCAATGATCAAAGAAAGCATATTATCGAATCCAAAGGACTTTTTCCTTTTTTCCCCCAAATTGTTTATCAGATGTCTGGCAAAACTGAATTATAGTCAAATGCATAGAAATAAACAAATTTAAAAAAAAACAGAAAAAAGAAAAGAAGAAAAATGTTCTGTTAAGCGCTGATAAGACGATACAGAATAGGAACATATGAAAATAATGTCTATTCTCTTCTTCCCTGCGCCATCAATCAAAACCATCTACAAATCAAGGCTCAGAAAGTCTACAGGCACTTGGACTCTTATTACCATCTTTCCTACTTCATAATCTCATACTAAAATAGCACGGCTGGGGGGAGAGCCATGTACACAAAACAGAACCTACAAACCTATTTGGTTTGTAACACTGTTTGTCTAATATTCATGGATTTAAGACAGTCGTGTTAGATTAATATTCTCAAAGCTTAATGTATCACTTAGAAGGAGAAATAGTTTATCCTCCATACTCTGAAACAAAAGGCCTATGTTAAGTAAGTTTTGCATGTGTAACATAACAATAGATATATGTGACACTATAATTTAATAGGACCCTGTGCAAACTATAGAATAATTGAGTATTCTTTCATGGGTAAATAACTATGAAATGTGGTGTTGGGTCACTCTACAGCACCTTGGAATAATGAAGTTATGCTCTTCATTACCAAGCTATTGTACCTGCTGCTATTGAAAAGGAGTGCTTTATACACTGACCATGTTCCCCGGCTGTTTTTAGGGTTGCTTCAGGATGTGTGGATCCTAGAGGGTTGCGCACAAATCGTCGCCGGCGCCGCAAGTCATCTTCCCAGTAGTCAAGGCGCCAGAACTCACGAGGACGACTACAACGAAGCAGAGAAGCCACATATGTTAGCAATTATCAAGCAGCGTGGTAGCACTGATTTTCTGCATAAAGCTCTCCTTGTTTGCTCTGCCTTTTCCCCCGCCCCCCCTGCCTCTTAATTCTCTCTCCATCTCACACTCCCCTCCTTTCTGCAATCTTTAACTTAGGTATGTCCTTGAAAATAACAATATCACCTCCTGGTCCCAGGAACTCCTTTTCCTTTTCTTGGAAGGTGAAATGAGCACTAAATACATCATTCTGCAATGAATTGCTGACAGTGGAATCAGTTTCCCCACACTCCAGTGGCATGTGCTCTGATTTCAGCCTCATTTCAGCCTCAGCAGGGCACCTTTCTCTGTGGCTGCATTTATAAACCAGAATAGGGAAAAGGCTATTATAAATATGGTATAGCATTACCTATATTAATCAAAGTCTGTCCCCCTTCATTTTTCTTCCTAATTTGTGCCTTTTTGCACAAGGTCAGTAAATCATGGCAGGGATTCTTGGTCCAGAAAGTGTTAACTTTAATGAATATCTCAGTTACATGGTTATGTATGTGATAATAAAATATTACTCTGTTTAGATGTGCAGGAATTTAATTAAAATAATCTCTTAAAATATTCATTACATTTAGCCCCTGAGGCTTAGAACAACAGAAGAAAATGCATTTCTTTTCCATTTACTGTTTTTAAATAAACCATTCGTGTAGAGTGAAACAGCAATCTATTTTCAAGCAAATCAGATTGGATTTCTGTTTTATGTAGTCTGTTTTTATATTTAATTAAAAACTACATGCTATATGATGTGCAATAATTGCTATATCAAGAACATACTTTTAGAAATGTATTTTTTCTTAAAAAAAGGTCCATTCAAGTTTTGTGATATTTTCCCCAATTACATAGTTCTTTTATATGGTGATATGTAAATGTCAACATTCTCTCCTGTAAACTAACAATAATCTAGCAGTCTAGAAAACATTTTATAAGAAAAAGAAAAAGGTTTTTTTGCAGTTATAGTTACAAGAAAATCTGGGCATAATATGTTTATTCACTGAAGATACACAGCATGTTTCAATAATAAAATAAAATTTCCTCACAATCTAAAGTCCTGTAGGAATGACTAATACAAAATAAAATCTTACTTGTATTTCATGAGCTAATAAAATTGTGCCTGTCAGCTTTGATAAATTAGTAGTCTTGACCAAATGACAGTCCCAGAACATCCAAGTAAAAGTTATTCCTATTTTGATGTTTCATGACACTATCTTTAAAATTAAAAATAGGTAAGTATTTTTATCAGTTAAAAATTATCTCAGGTCAGTCAAATGTCAACACAATCAGTATACGATTGAAAAGATATTTTTATAAGACAGCAGAATTTCAATGGTCTTTTCTGAGAAGCAAAAAAGCCAGTAAGAACATCAAACATTTCCTTTGTTGATTCTGGTCATGTAAGAGGCAGAGATACAATATAATCAAAAGTGACTACAAAGATGATGTAAGAATTTCAGTCTTCAAAATAGAAAATCATGTTGCTGAAGGACTATATTACTGTAATAATATGGGGGGAAATGGTAGAGGGAGGGAGAGTGGGGAGAGAGGGGGAAATCTCTATACCTACAAAACTGTATCATGCAAAATAATCATAATTATAATAACACAGAAAAAAAAGTCTCCTTCATTCTTTCCTTCTGCTTTTCCTATGATCTGCAATTTCAATTTTAAATAAAAATCAAGGCTATCATTTAAAAATGAATATAAAATAACTCCAGAATATACATTCAAACAAAAGACAATAGTTGCTTGAATTCAGTTGATGAAATAAAGCGCTCCTTAGGTGAGAAGGAAGAAGGAGCACGCAGATGGCCAGCGAGGATGACTTTGATAGTCGTGGAGCTTGGGTAGGCACTTCATCATTCTGCCTACCTACATTTATCTGTTAAAATTATTATCAAATATCAGCCCGGGTGCAGTCGTGAATCACAGGCTGCTCCCCGTCTTCGGGGCAATGATACAATGAGAGTCTATCCATCAGTGCAGCAATCGGCACAAGTAATTAGTTCCCTAGACTGAGATCTCCTACAAAGCCTATTTCAGTCAGCACCACAAACATATGACGATGTAAAGCTAATGAAAGCTGCTAAAATTTGTTAACCTTTTACGCCATCAATCCTTCTAATACTCTGTGCTTCAATATTATGCAAAGGTGGTAAATTATTAATTTGTCAGTCATCCATCCTTCTACATTTCAACTCAAATTAAATGATGCCATTCTTCTTGCTAGCAATTAAAATTATAAAAGATGTTAAACTGCTATGATAAAATTATCGCTAAATTAGGCAACAATAGGCCCTACTATAAAACATGATGGCAAAGTCAAAATCCAATGGTTTTTAAAGCATATGCCCAGTTTGTATTATTCATCAGAAAAAAATTATAAACCACACAGAAATTATCAAGTAATTCAAAGACAGCATCTTCAAGAATAGTAAATAAAATTAGAAGGATGCAAAGCCAGAATGTTTACTTTTACAATAACTAACATTATCCAAAAAAGGGCCCAAAGTGGTGGTATTTGGTTGAAGCCAAAATACAAATTCATCAGGAATTGAGAAACTAGGTGTTCACAAGATGCGACCATGTGTTCATGCATCCTTTATGCTTTCTGTGTACAAATATGAAAAATACAAAAATATTTAGGTGAAATCCAAAGAGTAAAGAACTTTATATCTTGGTATTACAATGTTTAAACGTTCTAGAGCTAAACCACTTGAAGACCATCTTCCTAACACAGTAGTGATGACAATTAAGAATAATCTGAACACAAAGCAAATATCACATATTTCAGATCATATATATAGAAAAAATTGAAGAGGCAACAATGTCAGTATATGGTTTGCTTTTTTTCTTAAATTCTCTTCATATAAGCCATTAATCCAAGGGACACAGAACATTAAGCCCTCCAGGCATATACTTATGGCCCAACAATTAGCTTATTACTTTCACTGAAAACAGCATTACTCATGAACTTCTGATTATAAGAGTAAGTCAAATTCTCTGAAGAGAAAAAATAATTCACCTTTTTTTTTTTAAGGTGAGGACAATTATGAGCATGTTCAAAGTTGTTTACATACAGACTTCTACCTAAAAGTCCATGATTTTCCCTTCCTAACTTTGTTCTCACCCAAGCATACAGCTTTACTGCCAAAACACGTGCATACTTTGCCATTTTAGAGCAGGTTTTTGCCCCCCCCTTTTTAAAGCTTTCTTTGAAAGGCAGAATGACAGTGAGATTCCAAATAGCTGAGGAGCCCAGAACTCTGTCCAGGTGTCCAGTGGTGTTGCAGGGACTCAAATACTTGAAAAATCACCTGCTGCCTTCCAGGAGCATGAACAGGAAGCTGGATGGGAAGAGGCAGGTTCAGGATTCCACAGATACAGCCCAATACAGGATGTGGGTGTCCCGAGTGGTAACTCCACTCCCTGCTCCATGACACATGCCCCTTCAGGACAGTTTTATAAACAGGAATATTTAGGCTTCAACAATCACCTTACCATAAATTTTAATCATCCATTTAAATATATCACTATATCCCTATGTGCTTATACATCCACATCTATTCAAAATAATGTGACTCATATCTCCTGACGCCACATGCTCAAATGTCACCTATTCCCATTTCCACTAAGTTCCCAAAAGGTATTCAAATTAAGGCTGTGAGCCTAGTATTAGCTACTTGCTTCAAAATATGATACCACCTCTTATAAATACACTGCACTCAGACAGCTTTTAGAAATACTCTGCTAGTACTAAAATCTTTCATTATAGGGACACAATTGTGTTTCAAAATCTGTGGATAGCATATTACATGTTCTAATGTTTCTTATTTCTTTCATTTTTGCTTTTCCACTTTTTAGACTAATTTCAAAGCCAGAGGATAAAGTATAAAACAAATCTATTGGACTTATCTAGGGATAAGTCATGTAGTTAATGCTTCTGCTTTAACAAATACATTTAGGTATTTGTATACTTCATTCTAACCTACATAAAATATAAAACAATGGAATTTTAATATATAGAATATACATTTTCTGTCTTAAAAGAACAGAATTTGATAGGCTGTTGAAATTTTAGAAGGAGATACAACTCAATCATCAGCAGACAGATAGTGGTTACTAAACAAAACAACAATTATTGGACAAGGATTTAGTGTTAAAATAGAGAATAAATAACAAAGGTAAGATTTATATTCTTGTAACAGGTGAATAATACAACTATAAATAACTGATTATTATTTTCAGGTGTCATAAATATTATCAGAAGTTTAGTTTTCTTCAGGGAAACTCAAAGTAAGACATTAACAGAGTATCTGTCCAGTCACACACAGTATAAAATATAGTATTTTCAAATAACAATTAATGACTATTAACCTTGAACCAAATATTAAGACTACAAGAAACAGCAAGTGCTCTCTCTGGTCTCCTGGAAAGCACAACTGTTAAAATTAAGAAATCATGGGTGGGTACTGTGGTATGTGGGTTACTGTGGTATGTGGGTGAAACCCTCTCTCTGGAAGCCCAGACTCCACAGCAGAGTACTGGGCAGCCAGTCCCACCTCCATTTTCAACCCAGCTTCCTGATAACACATGCTCTGGGAGGAGTAGCCGCTGGTTCACGTACTTGATTCCCAGACACCATGGGGAAGTCCTGGAGGAGGTTCATGGTTTCTGGATTTGGCCTGGCCTGGCACAGGCTGTTGTGAGTATTGGGGGAGTGAGCCAGTGGATGAAAGATAAGTCAATTCCTCTCTTTCTTCCTCTCCCTTTCTCTTTTTCTCTTTCCCTGTTGCTCTTTGTAATAAATAAAGTTTTAGAAAGAGAATTAAAAAAAAGTGTTCAGCAGTCCTACTCCAGTAGGCACTTTTCACAGTGTAACTGGTACATACAGTGTGTTTGCAGTGTTCATTTTGCATTGCTGTATGCCACAGCCCAAGCACAT